GACTGCAAAACCTATCCTCTTGGCAACAATGAGCAGCAGGAACTTGACAAGTTTCTGGATGAGAATCTATCCAGTGGATGAATCTGGCCATCAAAGTCTCCTATGGCATCACTATTCTTCTTTGTCAAAAAGAAGGATGGCAAGCTCTGACCAGTCCAAGACTATTGAAAGCTTAATGAAATGACAATCAAAAACTGATATCCTCTTCTATTGATCTTGGAGTTAATGGACAAGCTCTGAGGTGCTAGATATTACACCAAACTTGATGTTCAGTGAGGCTATAACAATGTCTGTATCAAAGAAGAGAATGAATGGAAGGCTGCATTCAGGACAAATCAAGAATTATTTGAGCCAATAGTCATGTTCTTTGGGCTCACCAATTCCCCAGCAATGTTTCAGTGGATGATGAACAATATATTCAAGGATCTCATCACCACAGGAAAGATTACCATTTACCTTGATGACATCCTGATCATGTCAAAAATGAAGAAGGAACACAGGAAGCTAGTGCAACAAGTACTGGCTCTGATAAGAAAGCACAAGCTGTTCCTCAAGGCAGAGAAGTGTGAGTTTGAGATACTCAAAACCAAGTACCTTGGAGTCATCATTAGCAAAGGAAGTATTAGGATGGACCCCATCAAGGTGGTGGGGGTAATGGAATAGCCAGTGCCAATCAAGAAAAAGGAACTACAGTCCTTCCTTGGATTTACAAACTTCTACTGATGTTTCATCTGAGATTACAGCAAGATTGTCTGACCCATAATGCAACTAACTGGCAATGCCTCCTGGACCTGAGGTTCCTTCCAACAAGCCACCTTCAATGACTTAAAAAGATGACTAGCTGAGGATGTTGTACTTGCCATTCTCACTCAGAAAGGAAGATTCCAAGTTGAGGCTGACTCCAGTAAAGAGGCCATCAGGGCTGTACTTTCACAAGAGCAGGATGAAAAGTGGCACCCTGTTGCATTCCTATCTAAGATGCTCATGATCACCAAACAAAACTACAAAATCTATGACAAGGAACTCCTTGCCATTATGCTTGCCCTCAAAGAATGGTGGCACTATCTAATTGGGGCCATGGAAGTTTTTGAGATCTGGACTGATCATCAAAACCTTTGGTATTTCCAACAACTGCAGAAGTTGAACTACTGACAAGCCAGATGTGTCACTGAGCTCAGTCAATACCAGTACACCCTCTATCACAAGGCAGGAGCAGCCAACAAAAAGGCCAATCTCCTTAGCTGACAGGTAGATTATGATAAGAGGGGGACTGACAATGAGAGAGTGACATTATTGAGGCCTGAACATTTCAGGGCTATAATAATGCTAACAGAGAAAGAAATCTATGAGTGCATCAAGAGTGTGACTCAGGACTATTGCAAATGAGACTAACAAGTGGCTCTATCTCTCAATCATAAATGGAGGATGACAAAAGATGAAGGATTAATCCACTATAATGAGTGAATCTATATTCCCTGGGACCAAGGTCTATATGGCAAAATCATTATCATCTGTCATGACCATGCAACTGCTGGTCACTCTGGCATTGCTAAAACCAAAGAACTCATACTATAAGAATACTGGTGGCCCAAAATAGGCAATGACATCACTGCATATGTTAAAGCATGTGAAGTTTGTCAAAGGGGCAAATCATCAACACAGACCTGGGCTGCACCACTCCATCTGAATGAGATTCTATCATCACCATGAATTCATATTTCTGTTGACATGATCACCAGACTCTCTGACTGCAATGGCTATAATGCCATAATCATCATAGTCAACCAGTTCTTGAAGGCTATTATTCTGATCATCTGCTCAATGGAATTGACCTCTGAGGGATGGGCAAAGATCTTGTATGATGAAGTCTATGCCAAATATGGGATGCCACAAGTGGTCATTTCAGACAGGGGACCTCAATTCATATCTAAATTCCTGAATGATCTCTATCACCTTCTAAACATCAAATATAATGCATCCACCATATATCACCCTCAGACCGACAGGCAGACAGAACATGCAAACCAGAAAGTGGAGAAGTATCTCCACTTATTCATTAACTATTGGCAAGATGACTGGATGGAATAGCTGACACTTGTGGCCTTTCAACATAACCACATCTATTCTGTAACAGGAAAAACACCATTCTTTATCAATCATGGGTGACACTCAAACATTATGCAGACTGAATAACACTGCACCTTAACTCTAGCCTTGACAGACTTTGCCATCACTATGGCAAAGATTCACTCTGAAACCAAAATGGCTCTCGAATAGGCCATGTTATCCATGACACAGCAATATGATAAACATTGCTGTACCACACACATGTATTCCATTGACAATAGGGTTTGGCTCGACACCACCAATCTTCATCTCCCATGTCCAAAATGCAAATTAGCTGACAAGTGCACTGGCCCTTTCCCAATAATCTCAAAGATCAGAACTAGCACCTATAAACTCCAACTACTCTCCACTTGAAAAATCCATGATGTCTTTAATGAGGCATTGTTAACACCATACATCATCTCAGTATTTTCTAACCAGAAACAACCTCTGCCTCTGCTCCCAGACCTTATTGACAATGAGAAACACTACAAAGTCAATCAGATTTTAAACTATAAACTATGAAAAATCAGGGCAAAAGAGGGTGGGATGATGACCACAGTTGACTATCTGATCAGTTGGAAGGGCTATGGGCCAGAATCTAACCAGTGGGTGAACAAGAAGCTAATGAATGCCAATGACACTATACATGACTATGAATTATCCCTAAATTAAGCCATCAGGATGATGGTCTTAAGGAGAGGGTAATGTTACAATTTTTCCATTCTTTTCCTGATTTAACCTCTATTTATGCTTAGTCAGAGTGCTAGAGTGAGCACTTAGGGCTGTGGGACAAGGCTTAGTCATCACAACTAGCCAAGTCCATCATTGTCTTTTGACATAACAATGTTGCCTGATGATGCACAATCAACCTTTTATATACAGTAGTGACACTCAAGAACAATGAGCACAACAGACAGAGAAACACACAATAAGTACATAGTATTATTAGCAGACCTTGTACAGTATTTAAGAGGCTTGCTCTTGCTGGTAATCCCCAGCTTCAAGCTAAATTTTTTTCTTTACCATCTACTCTCGAGTGACTTGTAATGCCTTGACTACACAACTCTATTGACACATCAGTGAACTCTGTCAGTCTAACCCAAAGTGTGAGGTTCTAAACAGTTTATTATATGTTGATAGTCATGTGGAATTTAGGCTTAACAATACCATCCTCCATCATCTCACCACTAGCATTAGTAATGTCTCTGACACTACATTCTCCTTCTTTTATCTTAACTACTGGATACTCTGAGTGGTTCAGTCCTCTATGCTGACTGGTTAGTTCAGCATGATAGTCAATGCATCTGGCTACAGAGTGGAGAAAGTTTGAGAAAGCAAGTGGTGAGACAGAAGATGTCACTCACAACAATGAAAATAGTGTCAAACCAACTGTTGACAGCTTTTTAGGACTATGAGCAAGATATCTTCTCATTGGTAGGTATTGGATAGACTCTAAGAGCAATCTGCAGTCTTTTCCATCTGTAGTAGGAATATGAGATAACACTTGTTGATGTCACTCTTGACAGATAGTAAGAGTCACCAGCAGTGAGTTCTGTTGTTGTGGTGGAAGAAAGGGATGATGGAAGGATGATGGTCTGCTATCACAGTCACAGCCTTCCTTGCTCTCTACATCCATGAATAATCTCTATCTCCAGTCTCTTAATGCTCTGTTCAGGTCTTGGTTTTGATTGAAACAGAATTGGACAGTGTACTATATATAGTTGACACTGTGACCTTTTATCCATGCTCAATCAAATATATCTATCAGGTGGAATCTGTGTGTAAGATGACTGAAGTTGCAAATTGATTTCACTTTTCCATGATTTCCAAGTATTGCATATACTCAATACAATTTTCAAATTCTTTTTTTCATACTTGCTTTTACTTATCTTTCTCTGCTAGGCTGGAATAGGACCACTAGATAATTATCTACTCAAGGCAGTTTCTATATTGTTGAGACATGCTGAGGATGATTTCCATTCATAGGAGATGACTTGGGACCAACAGGTCATTGTCTTAGATGGATATCTCTGATCTCATAGAGAATAACTCCTCCCTCAGAGATAACCTTGCAGCTTTGGACTGGCTTTTGTTAGATATACCTAGAACAAAATCAACTTGAGGAGCCATTTACATCCATTGCATTTCAGGATGCTCTCCTCACATTATTGTCTCCAATGAGCACTGAAGAGCACTACTTTTTACACTGTGTATCATACAATGACATGGACATCAAGCACAGCTCAAACTGAGTCATTAGCTGTGTTTGTCATGCTTGGCAGTCAGTATTGTATCAATGCCAAGTCTCTGGATGACCTTCTCTATTGAAGATGATCCTTTCACCAAAAACAGAGTGACACTTCTTCAGGAGTATCTGACATGTTCCAGCCAGTATTCACTCTGCATCACACTGCTCATCCTCATGTGATTGAGATACTGCTTTATCCACTGCACTGACCTTGACTTTATAACAAGGGTGCTTGGGAATGTTGGCCTGATACAGCCGGTAAGGTGGTTGGTTTGCCTTGGAAGGCCTGGAGCATAGAATGACAACATATCTATATTAAATTATATAGTATTAGTAGCAAATATTAACTCTTGTGGTAGGCTGTAATCAGGCTGGATGAGAGACATGATGGGTAAGTGATTGGCCCATTATTCCTTGTACAGGGACTGACTGTGATTAAGTTCCATCTGTCCTGTTTGGGTAGGAGTCCAGTGCCCAAGAATTGGGTGTGTGATGCCTGCCAAGTTCAGGTTGTAATGAAGCTGCCGGAAAGAGCCATATGGCTTAGTCATGAAATTGACGTCATTGTCTATCACGTGGTTGGGTGGGTACCCCTTCGATACTGAGAATAAAATTTCGACCCCATGTACAAAATTGAATTTGGCGAGCACTCTTGCTGAATAGCAAGCTTTATTTGGAGAGCGAACTGATGTTACTGTTACTGTTAGCGTTGGTACCAGCGCAAGGCCTCAATCATGGAGCGGCTGGGTCCAGTGGCTGATTATCCCGATTTAGTCATCACCGCCCTTCCAGTCGATACTCGTCCGGTAACCCGTCTTCACTTGATTGCAGCGTCAATGATTACTCGATCGCGTCCCATTCGACGTTTCGTTTCCTCGGGTCGGACTGGATGCTGGATGCTTAGTCTACGAAAGACCTGTTTCTCTGTGCTCAAATTCATCGAGGTGAGTTCACGCTGTGTCCTGTCCGATGAGAATTATCACGTAAGGCTGCGCCATAGACAACTTTCACAGTGATATCGGATCAAATGAGTCATCAGGACTATGGACAACTGTTCGAAGGAGGTGATAAAATAGGTCTAGATAATCAGAGAATCCTTTCTTCTCCCTCGTTCCATAGTATTGAGCTCCCATAAGTGAAGCCTTCGATGAATAACGCCTCGCCGCGCACTTTGAGGTTTTTCCAAATTATCGGGATCATGCCTTCTACCTGCCACAAGGTGAGAGCGAAAAGTGAGGCAAGTAGTCACGTATCACCGGCTACAGCTTTCACGAGCGAGTCGCGATGCGAATAAAAGGAACACGCACTCGAGTGGCGAGGGTGCCTGGGGATAAGCACCCTTTCAGAGTCTCAATAAGAACTAGCGGAATATTCTTCGCACCAAGATCGCGCATGCATAAGCTCGCGTACAGAGAAGAGTTTACAACATGCCACAAATATTCCCATCTACGATGCCCAGGCTAGGCGTGTTCCTATGGGCTGGCACCGCTCGTCCTCGGATAATTTGGGCATCTGATGAGGTATGGAGAAGTTATCGATGAAAGGAAGGAAAGACGCAAAGAGTTGCCATGACTTGACATCTCAAAGTTACAAGCGATATCCCAACTTCACTGCGGGTTAAAAACCTTGCCTTGGAACCCAGTAAGCGATTGGGAAACGACAAAGAACACACCTGTGTACCTTGACGCTAACACATCGGTACGAGCCACAGTCAAAGTGTGTTGCCACTTGATTGTGGCCAGGGAAAAATAAATTGATTAAAACCAGACCTACAGGAACGATATTCTCAGCCTACATGCCGCATCCTAGATGTTATATGCAAGACGAGATAGCGTTGCTTCCCAGGCGTTCGAAAACAAAACAAAGAGAGAGGCGTTCAGGGTTCCCAATTTGTCATCAGCTACGGCCACACAAGTTGAACTCTCACTTCCAAAGTTCCAACATGGACATGAACTCGCTTCATACTCAAGAGGATGAGACGCTCCTCTCTGAGAGAATTTACTCCCTTGTGAGTGCGATTTCACTGGCGATGCTGATAGCCACACCTCACCGGCTTGCAGATCGACACTATAGGGATTGCAGGAGCGATTGAATCCATGCCTAGGACAACCGGCGTTCCAGTAATGCCCATGGGAAATTTAGACCTTGGCTACATTGAGAGAAGTCTGGTGAGCACATTGGCGAGATGTTAAATAAAGTAAAGATCAACTCATTCTCAGCAGGCGAACTATGCTGCCATGCCACAAACACTCAAGGCTCCCCATAAGGCTCCTCGAAACATGCCTCCCACTGACCCCGCCGCATTTGATAACTGGATCGTCTCTCTCTTTCTCCGGGAGAGGGTGGATGAAACATACCAGCACCCAGAGCGGCTACATGAGCGCGAACAGCCCCCACACCGGGCTCCACCCACCGACCCCACCGCTTTCGATGCTTGGATTGTCTCTCTCTTTCCCCAGGAGAGGGCTGATCACACACACCATCATCCAGAACGGCTATACGAGCGCGAACAGCCCCCACGCCAACCTCCACCCACTGATCCTGTGGAATTCGATGCCTGGATTGTCACTATGATACGAAGCAAGAAGGCCGACAAGACCCATCATCGCGACGCTGTTCACGATGAACAACCCAATTACACATTTGTAGATATGTCATCGAGCGGCCCATCGGGGTCAACGACAGCAATGACAGGACCCTCGTACCCTCAGCTTCCATGGTGGATCGTGCCCCCTGGACTCCCTCCACTGCTCCACAACCCACGCCCCGTCGTCGCCACTACAACCCCGAGCTGGCTCACTGGCACCAACGGAGGGTCGTCGGTTATGTTCATGTCCCATGCGCATATGTAGCGACGTCCAGTTGTATCTACAAGTCTCATTCAATTTCTTTTCAGAATGAGAATATCTTTCCAAACTCACTTGTTCGAAGTCTGCAAGCCCATCAGTTCGAAGTACGTTTTGTGTCAGATGTGTCGACGAGCAGAGATGACGGTGCCATTCGCCGACTGGTCTTCCTGTCATTGGCTGCTCTTCGTCAGAGAGAAGTCAGCAAACAATGTCACTGGTGGCAGTAATGAACAGGCAGAAGGCGTTGTTCCCAGCAGCGGGCTCACGTATTTGCTGGCAGTGGTGGTCGAGAGGAAGGATGACGGAGTCACGTCACATTTCTCTTTGCCGTAGACCTCAACGTCTGCAATGACTCGATATTTCTCTTGTTTGTCTTTCTCCCTGCCTATCTTCATACCTCTGACGGGCGCAAGATAGTATTCTATTTCTGAAGAAGGAAAAGGCATGCTATCTTAGCTTTTCTGTCGCCTTCTCCTACTGAGCGAAAACATTTTACAGACTTTCTCCTGCGATTTTGTTTACTGTGGCTCAACAGAACCGCCTACGTGTGTGTCGAGTCGCTCGCAGAATGAAGGGCGATACTGGACGGGTGATGCTGGACATGGAGCGGGATCGTCGTTGGACTAGTAAAATCGACACGGAGACGTGCTTCTGTTCGCCATCCTCCTCTTTTTCTGGCTAGCATGGGCTTCCCGTACCATGGATCATGCAGAGGGAGAACAGAACTAGGTGCGTTCCCCCTGCTTTATTACGTTCTCCCAATCCTGACCTCGATATTTAGGCCCAAGAGCGCCAAATCGACTCGTTGTCGAGGATCAGGTTTCCCTCTTTTTCTGTCTTCAGCACCGAACAGCGTTCGTTAATCTAGACTACGAGTCTTCGAGGTGGAATACACAACGATTCCGCAACTCAGGCTAGGACGTTGGGCTGACTACGAGGTCTAGCTTGACAGTCTGAGATGTTTGTAGGCCTCTTCAGTGGGAAGAAAGGTGCGGCAACCGGCAAAACATTTCTCGTTCAGTGGTGTTGCGGCCATCTCAAGTGCATGTTGCCGTCCACGACGATACTTCCTGGGCTACGCCTCATATAAGATGTTATTGGAGACGTGGATCAGCGCCGGTTCCGCTTCGCACAACATCCAAGTATCAACTTTGGAACATGAGTTGCTACGGTCGAGTAATTGAGCACCTGGGAGGGGACAGCACAGTGTTCCGTTCAATACAATGTAACTCGTTCCCTTTGTGTTCTGTATTTGTTACTGACGATGCTTATAAGAACTGGATTCTGTTGTCAGTTCAGATAATCCGCTTCATCAAACATGACTGCTCCTCAGCCAGGTTGGTGTCTGATGTTTTCGCTACATTGGCTTACTTCGCTGACGAGTCTTGTACAGCGAACGCATACATACTAGCTCTTCCTAATGAACTCCTCGAGGAAGTACTGTCACCCATCGAAACATTGACGGGCTGGTATTTATATTTGCCTTTCATTCTGTTTCGACTATGCCTCATCGCCCAGTAAACAAACCCATTGTTTCAATGCGCTCTACATCCCAGCTAGCGATGACATCTTTGTGGCCGCTGTTTGGTTGCTCGACTAAGATTTGCTTTGACCGTATCATGCGGATTTTTCTGTGGATCTGATGTACCTCTGTCTCCTGTCAGTGAACCAACTGGAGAGGGTGTCCATCATGAAAACATGAAAACATTGCTGGCGCTGTCTTCATTATAACTCAGAGTACGATGTCGTACTATCCGTGAGTACCGTATATGATCGCCTTCCTATCTTTGAAAGCCCTAAAAGTTATCTTGGACAGACCACCCACGTGAAAAAATAGGCCTGCTACCTCGGCTAATGCGTTAATCCGTCCTTTCTTCCTAACGGCTACCATCTGGCAATGTCAGGGCGAATATCGTCAAAGGTCTTTATTCCGAGTCCGTAAGCTGGTGAACCTAGTTCAATCGCTGGCGTTCTGGAGCAATCAGAACCCGGAAAATCGACACACGGAAGGAAGCTCGCTCTGGTTCGTGGAAAAGTTCCTTATCAATCCAAATAGTTCTAATCGTGCTTTGTAGATTCTTCATGGCTCTGCCGGGTATGTTGCGCTCCGATGAGTCGGATACGGTATTTATTCAGGCAGACATCAGCCACAAAAACTACCTTTTCTTGAGGAGGCTTGCTACCACTCTACCCGTGGACACTTTTCGCTTCGACTTTCGGTAAGTGATGGTTGGTCATTTTCATCTCTATCACAGCTAACCATATCTTAGAGGGCACTTCGAATCACCTGGTATTTGGCGGCAAACCTCATTAGAACAGGATGTCTTGGATCTCCATGTCGTCACAGAATACCTCACAACCTATTTTGGGTACCATATCGATTTGATTGTCGCCCACTCTCGTGGTACGATAGTCGCCGTCCGCTGGCTATGCACAACTGAGGAAGGGAAAAGTGTTTCGGGATTTGTAAATGTGTCCGGTCGATATCGCATCCGAGTGAGTGTTCCTCCATGCTACAGGCAGGGAAATGTCAAACTGAACGTGTTCTCCGCAGGGCATCTACGGTGAGGGCGCTTTCCTGATTCGCAGAATTTCTTAGCTCACGACGATCGAATATGTAGATGACGATGAAACCAAGGAATGGAATGAAAGCTTCGCTGCTCAAGGATACCATCTCTTGAACCTCAAAGCCTTCAAGATCAAAGTTTACCCCGAAGACATAGACACGTTCGCTAATTTCGATGGGTCGCTGGTGGGATCCAGGTTCGCTCAAAGAACTGATGTTCTAACGATACACGGGGTGCTGGACAGGACAGTGCCAGTGTATGTTGCGTCTCCGCTGAGAAACAGTTTGCTCATCTTTATTGGGTACGACGCCGTGCTATACGTAAAGACCCTCAGCAAGCGCTACCCTGGGATGCACTCCTTACACCTCATGGAGAATACGGATCACAACTGTACCGGACGGTACGATGAAGTGGTACGGACCATTTTTGATTGGTGGGATAGCCAATTGAAGGGGAAGCTCCAGTCAGGTGTCTGGAAAGGGACGGAAGATGTGAAGGGCAAACTGTAAGACCAAATATTGTCTTTAATGTAATGCACGCTCCATTTGTTGATAATAGGAGTGGTCCGATGTCGTAACTGCTGCTTAGTTCAAAAAACCGACAGCCCAGCATACGCCGTGGCGTGACAGTATTACGCACGTGACATATGACATGTCGCGAGTGTAACACTGTAGAAGTGGCAGGCTTTACCAAGAGAAGGCTCGTTTCCGAACACTACCATCGTCTCATCACAAAAGCAGAGTCAGGTATCACTTGATGAAGATGGGGAAAGAGTATGTCGTTGAGCTTATGATGATAGGTTTACTGACCGGTTATTTAGTGCCACAGTGCATCACTCAGTATTGGAACAGCAATGCCTCTCTGCTTGCAGTGTAATAACTGTTGCGGGACGACACAAGTACCTGATGTCAACCTTATATAAGCATAGACAGTTTTGTCCTGAGTCAACAGTCAATTGCCTTTAAGCAATTGACCATCATACTCAGGTAAGTAGTAGTCATATGTACCTCTGCCTTTAAGCAATTGACCATCATACTCAGTCTGGCCTATTATCCACTGTGTAAAAGTAACCTGCCTGCAACAGGTTATGGGCCCTGCACTTTAAGGCCTATTTCGAGTTTTTTTTTCCTTTGCATCTTGCCTGTGCCCTGCTATCTCCATCAGTCACTTCACTACTGAAATGATATCACCACATACATTATGCCATCCTTTGACACAATCAAAAAAGGCTTCGACAATCTAAATGCCTCCAACTATGGCAAGTGGGAAGAAAACATGTCGGCCTTACTCAAAACTCACCACGAGTATCTTATCACCATTGGCTGTGACCCTGAACTGGAGTTTGCAGACTCTAAGAAGCCAACATACCAGGAGAGGAAGGACTGGAAGGACTGAAAGGAAACTCAGGTATTGGCTGCTGACACAATCTACCTCTGCCTTGATGAATCCCAGAAGGCTCATGTCAAGAACTGTCTTGATGATCCAGAGAGGATGTGGGACACATTAAAGGCACACCATCAGCAAAGAAAACCGGTGACTCGATTTGTAGCCTATGACAGCTTCTTCAATCTCAAGAAGGAGACAGAAGAATCACTTTCAGACCTTGCCAGTTGGGGCACTCAAATCATGAGTCATATCTGTGCTCTGCATTCTGCTCATTTTGGCCTTCAGCAGTTAGAAGAAGAGCTTCTCATTATGGCCCTGATTTGTGCACTCTCTCAGCCCAAATTTGAAAACTTCATCAAATCACTATTCCTTCTCTCCAATAAACTCACTCTCAAAAGACTCCACACTGCATTTCACAATAAAGAAAACAATCAGAAGCTGTGTGCTGGTGATCCAGCAGTCTCTGTTGCTCTCAAAGCCACACCTTTCTATTCAGCCACAAATCAGACTACCAATGCCACTGCAAAATGTGGATGGTGCCTTTGCGAGAATCATGCAGAAGAAGAATGTATAATCAAGAAGTTTTCACTTAAATGGGACCATGAACATGCTGCTGACTGTACTGCTGGAAAGCATTGTCACAAGAGGGCTGAAAAGAAGGACTCAGAAGCTGCTAACTCTGCCAAGACAAAGGAGGAGACTGCTAGCCAAGCAAGTACTGATTTATCATCACTTGCTGTGTCTCATTGGAATACTGATACAGATGCTTCTCATCATATGACCCCTCACTGACAATGGTTCTGACTCTATGCTCCACATGTCATTCCCATTCGTCTTGCAGATAATTCAGTCATTTATTCAGCAGAGATTGGGTCAGTAGTATTGGAGCCAGAGATTCAGGGGGAGAAAGGCTTGGTGGTGGAACTTCTTGACATATTACATGTACCAGCATTGAAAAGTAATCTCTTGTCACTCTATCATCTTACATGGGAAAAGGGATTTAGGATCTCAATTGCTGGATCAGATGTCACTTTCAGCCAGGGTGAAAAGATCCAATTCACAGCAACTGTAAACAAGAGCAATATTGGCTATATCAATGCTACCACACATTCATTCTCAAAATCGACCACTATCATTGCAAACTCAAGCTCTACAAGTACCTGCCAGATGGACAACACACTTTGGCACAGACATTGCTGTCATTGAAACATGGACACTATATGGCACATGTATACAAAGCAGCTAGTAACTGGAATAAAGCAAGAGTCAGATCCCCCAACTGATCCTATCTGCATACCATGCCTTGCTGGCAAACAGCATCACCACAATGTTTCTCATGGCCCTTCAGAGCAGAAGAAACACCTTCTTGAGCAAGTATACAGTGATATCAAAGGTCCAATGCCTGTCACAACTCCAGAGGGCTATCGCTACTGGATAATATTCATCTACAGTGCATCTGACACTTGGGCTGTCACACCTCTGAAGTATAAAAGTGATGCCTTTAATGCCTTCAAGCAGTTCAAAGCATATGCAGAGAATACCCACCCAGGACTCAAAATCATTAAGTTTCAGGAAGATAAAGATGGTGAATATATGGGAAAGGAGTTTGTTGACTTCTGTGCTGAGCATGGGATCAAAAGATGACATACTGAACCTGATGAACTATACCAGAATGGCACAGCAGAATGAGCCAACTGCACAATTGCAGAGGCCATCACTGCCATGCTAAATGAGTCACATCTCCCACCATCATTTTGGAACCTCGCTCTCTGAGTGTTCATTCATGTCCAAAATCACATTTCCACAGATTCTCTTCCAAACACCACACCCTTCACAGAATGGGACTCAAATCACCAAAAACCAGATATATCCCACTTTTGTGTGTTTGGATGTCTTGCATATATGCTAGTACAAAAAAAGGGACATCGAGCATTAGAGTCACACACCCAAAAATGTATCTTTGTTGGATATCCAGAGGGAGTAAAAGGCTGACTATTCTGGAACCCATCTACACAGCAGTTTATCACCTCCAGCTATGCTGTATTCAATGAGTATGTATTTCCTGAAAATCACAAAAATATTATAAATCCTCTTGGTGATGATACATCTCTCACAAACAGATATAACAGCACAGATACTGCTATACCTGATGCAGCGATGCCTCATCAAGGGGGAGAGAACATACCTACTGATAAGCTATCTCTGCCATCTGAGCAACTCCCATCATCATCATCATCACCATCCTCGCTAGCTCCATCCACTCTATCAAATATGCAAACACCTTCAGAATCACCTCTTACTCCACTATCAAGTCTTCTGACATCTTCTACACCCTCTTTACCACTTTTACATCCTCAGGCACACTTTGAGCCACAATACAACTTTAAAGATCTTATAATCCCATCTCCAAACACTGGACATGGTTTTTACTGTAAACATTCTGGCACCAATGCAATAAACTCACTAGACTCAAATAAACCTCTTTCTGATCCTATTGAGGAAACCACTGCTGAGCCAGAGCTTACTGAGACAGATGTTGTCACAGGAATGACCTTTGTATTGCATGATGATGACTATATCACATATACAGAAGCTCTTGAGCTTGCATTTCAGACAGCAGTAGAGATGGCAAACCAAGCATCTGCATCTAATGATGAACCAAAGACACTTGCAGAGGCAATGACTTGGTCAGGAGAGGAAAGTGAAAAATGGTATGAGGCAGCTCAGCAGGAATTGAATGCACTGCAGGAGAGTGGCACCTTTGAGCTTGTGAAGCTCCCTCCAGGGTGAAAGGCTATAGGTGAAAAATGGGTCTTCAAAGTGAAGCATAACCCTGATGGATCCATTGAATGCTACAAGGCATGCTATGTCGCAAAAGAGTATTCACAGTGGCCAGGTTTTGACTACACTGAAACCTTCTCTCCTACTCCAAAATGGGCAGCTATCTGAACAGTCCTCACTCTTGCTGCACTTGAGGACCTAGAGCTCTGGAGTGTGGACATCTCATCAGCATTTCTGAATGGTGATCTAAAAGAGGAGGTATACCTTCAACAACTAGAGGGATTCAAGACAAAGGACGAGAGCTGGGTGCTTTGTCTCTTCAAGTCCATCTATGGACTGAAGCAGGCTGGATATAAATGGCACAAAAAGCTCCACAGTGCTATGACCAAGATGGACTTTGACAGAGTATGCTGTGAACACAGTGTATAGGTGTACAAGAGAGATGATGCTTGGATTATTGTTCCAGTGTTTGTCAACGATGTAACAATTGCTGCAAAGTCCATGGAGTCTGCATGACATGTTGTTGATGATCTCAAGAAGCACTTCAAACTTCACGATCTAGGTCCAACTTCATTCCTCCTCAGTGTCAAAATACACAGAGACCATCTAAACCAAACACTCACACTCTCTCAACCACAGTATATCCAAAAAATCCTAGAATGTACCAGAATGTCTGACTGTAACAGTGTCAGTACTCCTCTTGATCCACACACTAAGCTATCCAGCTCAATGTCCCCTGCTACTCCAGAGGAATGGAAAACCATGCAGCATATCCCATATCTTCAAATTCTTGGCTCTGTAGCATATCTGGCCATTGCCACTCATCCTGACATAGCTTTTGCAGTCAGTGTCCTATCACATTTTAGGAAAAACCCTGGATTGAGGCATTGGGAGGCCCTGAAATGCCTCCTCAGATACATAAAGGAAACAATCAACCTAAAATTGACATATTCACCTGATGCTACAAACCCAGACCTGTTCAAAACATACACAGATGCAGATTATGGTGGAAACCCAGACAATGGACACTTGACCTCAGGATATGTTGTCAAGATGGGCACAGATGCAGTCAGCTGGATGAGTCAGCTACAATCTATAGTAACCTTATCGACCACAGAGGCCAAATATGTGGCTGCCATCTCTGCTGGACAGGAAATTCTGTGGCTGCAAAACCTGTTCACAGAATTTGGCTTCCATCATCTGTCACCATCGCCACTGCTGATTGACAACCAGTCTGCTCTCTCTGTTGCTTGCAATTCTGATCATCACAGTCATGTCAAACATCTTGACCTCTGCTTCTACTGGTTATGAGACAAGGTTGAGCAGGGGCACATACATATTG